ATTGCGAATCTAATCCTCAGCCTCCCGGTCCTGGCCGGCAGCGTGGATGTGTGTGAGAGAGAACAGTGACCGCGACCGCGAGAGAGAAGCGGCCCGCCCCGCGGACCCAGCTGTTGGACGCCGCCACCACCGCGCCGCGCCGCCGCCTGCACCGGCCGCGCCAGGCCACGCCGCCGTTCAATGGCTCATTGTGTTGACAAAGACGGCGATGAATATTTATTGGGGCGTTCGCGTGTGAGCGCCAAAGCCGCCCCGCCTCACCGCGCGGCGCAGAGCAGGCTGCTGCGTGGTCTTCTTGGCCCGCTGCGGTGCGAAAGCCGCTCAGTTTATCCATTTCGATGCGGACGCCGCCAACACGGAGTCGAACGAGAGTCCACCGTGATGCGTTGTTGACGTCATCGAGATGCCTTACTCTCGTAGTGCTGCACTCTCTTTGAGGTGACTGTCCGCCACTCGTTCACCTCGGCCTGTGTGGCGGTGGACGGTGGTGCACGCGCGCGGCGTGCGCGTCACCCTGCCCAGGACGCCGACGACGACACGGCAGTCGGCCTATGCACACAGCGCCGTCACCTGACCTGTCCTGTCGCTGACCCACTTGCCTCTTTGTACGGGGTGTTTCATTGACCCTGCCAAGGCGACGTCATGGTGGTGGTGGTGGTGGTGGTGGTGGTGTTGGAGTACGGTTGTACTATTTGCGGCGCGGGGCGTGGCGGGGCGGGGGCAATGACGCGGCACATGTTGACTCAGGTCAGCCCCGCAGTGGTTTGCGAGATGCGACCAATCGCGATCGAGCATCTCGAGCGAGTCGAGGAACACTTCGGTAATTGCGATCGAGTCGTCGTCGTCGCCGCCGCCGAGACAAGCAATTGAAACCGGGCGGCGGCGGTGTCGCGTCAGACGAGACGGAATCGATGTGTTGTTGTGCTGGTCAGGAATCGATTAGTCGACGGAGCTGATCAAGGGCAGCGCGTCTGCACTATTTTCGCGGGAGAGGTGAACCGAGTGTGTGTTTGGGAGACGCCGAGCGCCTAAAGTTAGCAAGCCCTGGGTGTCCCACAAGATTACCTTTAAGTGTGCAAGTTCTGTGATCGTTTGTGCCAGCCGCCAGAGCTTTTGCCGTGTGAATGTGCTGTTCTTTTCTCAAGTGCAAG